CTCTTAGGTCAGCAACTGAATGTCCTGGAAGGTTAAAATGTCCCGCCACTGGTTTTTGAATGTTTTGGTTTCTAATAGCAGTAGAAAGAGTAAGATCCTAGTAGCACCTAGAAGACTAACAAAATTTGTGGTAGGTTATGTGCTTTTGTGAGTCACTGCTCACTTCCTCAGACTTGTTTCCATTTATTCTTTGCATTCTCCTGGACTGAATCCTCCTGTACCAAATTGAGGCCTAGGTTTCCTGTCTCATTACTAATGTTGATATCTCCACGCCTACTACCCCATTCTGCATACCACATCTAATCCAATAAAGACTGCTATTGCCATTTGGCATCTGAAATCATCTTTATAAGGTTTATCTCTCCGGTACCTCATGTTACATTTTACAGCACACGTGGCTTGATTTATGTCAGATCCGGCCCTTGTAGCAGATGGGTTTGACACCTTTGAACTAGGAGTTTCTAGCACTTGTGGGCCATACCAGGCCCAGCTCTGCTCCTCAGTGGCCTTCATTCCCATAAGAACAGCTATCCAGCCAGCTTCTGCTACTGAATGGTTTAGAGGATTAAGGGGTGTTTCATTTGGGGTTCCTGACTGAAGTTAGGGTTGCCAACTCTGGGTTGGGAAATTCCTGGAGATTTGGAGGGGGAGCCTGGGGAAGGTGGGGGTTGAGAAGGGGGGGGCTAAAACCACCCAAACCCACTGTGTGTTTTTCATCAGCAGACACTGACACATTCGGGAGGATAACCATTGAAGTGCTCAGCAAACCAGTGGGGTTTTGCAACAATTTATTATGTTTTTTTTATTTAGGACATTTACTAGAGTCCTTGTTGAGGGAACGAAAGGATTTGGGGGGGCAACTTTGAAAGCTTCTAACTTCTGGCACTGTTTTCAAGGACAGCTGTGCCAGAGCTTGTGACTGACCCAAGGTCACATCAGCAGGTGCAAGTGGAGGACTGGGGAATCAAACCCGGTTCTCTCAGATTAGAGTCCGCACACTTAACCACTACACCAAACTATCCTCAAACTGGGAGGATAATCATGAATATGCTCACCAAACCAGAGGATTTTTGCAGCTATTTATTATTTATGCTTTTTGATTTAGGACATTAACATAGCACCTGTCTAGAGTCCTTGTTGAGGGAACTAAAGGATTTTGGGGGTAACTTTGAGAGCTTCTAGCTAACTTCTGGCACTGCAGTTGTGTGACCACTAGACCTGAAACCAATGCAACTTATCTATTTATTATGTATTTTCAAGCCTGATACCCTGCCTTTCTCCTCAGTGGGGACCCATTTTAGCCTCACCACAGCCTTGTGAGGTAAGTTAGGCTGAGCGTGTGTGACTGGCCCAAGCTTCCATGGCAGGGTGGAGTTTCAACACTGGGTCTCCAGGGTACCAGACCGTAATGGCTGGCTTTCACATATGCCAAGTCATTGGTCAATTTGACTGTGGAGTGGGTCTTTCTAACGCCAAAGATGGCCAAAGTATGGTCTCCTGAACAGAAACGAGGAAAGGTAGAAGTCTGCATCCTGTCTCTGGTTGTGGCAAGTCCTTTGTGGGTCTCCCGCAGGTACTGTGAGGAAAACGTTTTCTTGAGGAGGGCATGGTATCAAGATAGGAAGTAATTGGCTACACCCTTGTGGTTGTGTCTCCAAACTATTCTCAGGAGAATCTCTTGTGAGGAAAACCGGTGGCCTGTCTGCCTTCCTTGATTTTGGCTTGTCACAGCCTACAAGATCCCAAAGGCGTGACCGAAAGCTCGTGGTGCCGTGGGATCACCAATTACTCATGCGAAAACGACGTTAGCATGGCAGACCAAGAAGGTCCTGTGTCTTCCAGAGGGAATATTTGCAACACACTTTTCCTGCCTCTTTTCTTTTTTATAAATCATTTTATTTTTTATAAAGACAAACATCGCGCAGCCACACATACATACATAAATGGGGGGATTCCATTATCTCATCAATTAACATGTTTAAGGACCCCATACCATATTGGTTTTCCATGTTCCGCCTTGTGTCCTTACGAAAGTCCTTCGCATACGTTTAAAAATAAAGTCTTTATGTTATTTTAAAGGGTTGTATGTCTATATATTTTATCTATTGTACTCTTCAATCCATTTATAAAATCTTGACCATGTATTTTTAAAAGTCACTTCTGTTTGTCCTTTCAGGATTAAAGTTAGTTTGTACATGATCTCAGCAGTCTCAACCATTTTATTTAAAATTTCTCCTCTTGAAGGTACCTCGTTTCTTCACTTTCATCTTTCCCTGTCTGTGTGATGCTCGCATCGTCAGTCAGAATCCCACCAACTCCATTGTCTCATAGAATCACAGAGGTGGAACGGACCATCGAGGCCATCTAGTCCACCCCCCTGCTCAATGCAGGATCAGCCTAGAGCCTCCCTGGCAAGTGTTTGTCCAGCCGCTGCTTAAAGACTGCCAGTGTCTGTGTGTGTGTGGGGGGGAGCTCACCACCTCCTGAAGCAGCTGGTTCCACTGTTGCACAACTCTGTTGAAAAGCTTTTCTCAGGGCTATTTTTGGGCAGGAACGCACAGGAACGGAGTTCCGGCTGGCTTCAGAGTTGGCCACGCCCACTACAGCCAAAACCTCTGCGTGTCTGGCTACAGAGGGAAGGCCTGGAGAGCGACACCCCCCCTGGTGACTCCGAGGCGGGTGGGCCAGGGAGGCCCCTGGAACGATCAGGGAGGCATTTAAATACCTTCTTCGTGCCTTCCCCGGCCTGTCCAAGGGCTGGCTTGCCCCGGCTCCCTGCAGCTGTGGGGGGCCTGGGCAAGCCAAGGGAAGGCAGTTTAAACTGCCTTCCCTTCCCTTCGAGGGGGGGCTTGTCCGGGCAAGCCAAGGGAAGGCATGGGGGGTGGCCTAGTATGCTAACGAGCTGTGTTGTCAGGGTGTGGCCTAATATGCTAATGCGTTTCTGCTGTTGGGTGTGGCCTATTATGCTAATGAGTTCCTGCTGGGCTTTTTCTACAGAAAAAGCCCTGGCTTTTCTTAAGAGCCAGCCAGTATCTTCCCGCCCTTAATTTAAACCTATTCTTAAAAATCACTGTAGGGTTGCCAACGTTGGGTTAGGAAATCCCTGGAGATTTCAGGGTGGACCTGGAGAGGGACCTCAGCAGGATATCATGTCCTGGGCCCTATCATCCAAAGCAGTCACTTCCTCAAGGGGAACGGATCTCTGTGGCCAGGAGACCAGGTGTAATTCCAGGAGATCTCTAGCCCCCACCCCACCCACCCCCGATGGTTAGCAATCCTACGTGCATATATTGCTGTGGCGTTATTCCACTACAGTGATATGTCTACTACTTTTTTAAAAGGTTGTAAAACTATCTCCTGTTATCAAGGGGAGAAGTAGCAGGTGTAGCTACATAACATGGGGAATGCCTTGTTTGTGACAGATAGATCCACTGGTATAGTAAGCTAGTCATCTATATTCTATTGTAGCAGAGTGCACTAAAGGGCATATGCAGCAGAGCTTCTTTGGTCTGAGTGTGCTAGCAAGTCACAGAGTTACACAGAGCCACTTGTCAGTCTCAACTAATAATGAATTCTTTATTTAGAGAACTCCATTCTAGATAGGATAGATGAGAGATAGGGGTAGATATCAAGCCTAACCAGTGTTCCCTTTAAGCTGAGTCGGTGTGAGCTAGCCCACAGGTTTTTAGCCTCTGGCTCACACATTTTTGTCTCAGCTCAGGAAGGGACGGCTCCAGAGCAAACTAACTGATGCAGTAGCCAAATCGCTGGCTCACCACTTTAATGCCAGTAGCTCACAAAGTAGAATTTTTGCTCACAAGACTCCACAACTTAGAGGGAACATTGTTCCTAACTACCTGGATGGATGCAGACGGAGGTTGCATCCACGGTGCAAAGATGGAGAACAACGAGCTCCTTCTTTGTGTGTGAGAGGGAGAAGAAGAGAGGTGCGGACGCAAGGAAGGAAGGCAGTTTCCCTGAGAGCATCGGTCTACACATTAAAGGGATAGGGGCACAAGAGTAAACAGGAAGGTGTTCCCTCTAAGGTGAGTTAGTGTGAGCTAGCTCACAGTCCTTTAGTCTCTGGCTCAGACATTTTTGTCTTAGCTCAAAAAGGATGGCTCCAGAGCAAACTAATTTATCCACCAGCCAAATCACTTGCTCACAACTCTAATGCCAGTAGCTCACAAAGTAGAATTTTTGCCCACAAGATCCCACAGCTTACAGGGAGCATTGGAAGGATACCCACAGTTTGCCTGTCTATCTATCTGGCTCTTTTGTATCCCCCCTCTGGAGGCTGAGGCTAAGAGGCAGCGTCTGGTCCTCCTCTACCAACAGTTTGAAAATCTCCATTGCCATTGTAAATACTTTCACAGTCGCTGCAGCAATGAGACCAAAATGGGATATTGTCCCCGTGAGTACCATGAGGACCTATGAATTTAATAGAAATGCCGCCTAATGACTCTCCTCATGGCGGACTTCATCTCGCTGTTCCGGAGGGTGTAGATGAAGGGATTCAACATGGGCGTCACCATGGTATACATCACAGTCACCACCGTGTCCTGGAGGCCTGGGTTCTTGGCATTTGGCTTGAAATAGATCCAGATTACACCACCGTAGAACAAGACCACCACAGAAATGTGGGACCCACATGTGGAGAAGGCCTTGCGCTTCCCGACGGCAGACGGAATCTTCATGACGGCAGATGGAATCTTCATGATGGTGTAGAAGATGAGTGAATAGGAAATGACAATGAGTGCAAATGGGATCACTACCTCCATTACACCTTCAGTCATCACCATTATTTCTACGAGGGTGGTGTCAGAGCAGCAGATAGCCAAAAGTGGGAAAACGTCACAGAAGAAATCAGGGATCTCTTCAGGGTCACAGAACTCAAGACGGGACATCAAAAGAGTATAAAGCAATGCGGGGATTAAGGGGACAATCCAGGACACGGTGGCCAGTTGGAGGCAACGCTTGTGGCTCATCATGGCAGAATAGTGCAGTGGGCAGCAGATAGCCACGTAGCGGTCGTAGGCCATGGAAGCCAGCAGGCAGGTGTCTGAGTTGCCAAAAGACCCATAGAAATACATCTGGGCCAGGCAACCAGGGTAGGAGATAGTCTTCTTCTGAGACAGCATGTTATGTAATGCCTTGGGAATGGTGGTGGAGGTAAAGCCAAGGTCAGCTAGGGCCAGGTGACTGAGCAGGAAGTACATTGGAGTATGGAGGAGGTGCGTGTCGGAGCGGATCAACAAGATGATTGTCATGTTCCCCAGAAGGGTGAGGAGATAGATGGAAAGGAAGAGTGGGAAGAGGAGACTTTGGACCTCTGGCTGGTATGGGAATCCTCGGAGGAGGAACTCAGAAACGTCCGTTGTGTTCCTGAGATTCATTGGACCGATGCTCCTGTAGTGAGGAGACAGCAAGAAAGTTAGAGGCCCACAGCCAAGTATGGCTAATAAATCCCAAGATTCCTCCCACCATTATCCAGCTATCCAATGAGCAAACTGTGGGAGAATCCTTCTATGATGTATTCTCTCTCTGCCTCTCTCTCCCCAACATACATTGTTCCTGCCACATGAGATATGTGCATCAGCATCAAGATTCAGTGT